TGGGAAGACAGAGGCAGCGACTGGACTTAAATCCCCACCAACCAAGAAACATCTGGGCTGTCAGAAGCTAGAGGAGGCTTCGGAGGGAGTGACCCTGTTGACACCTTCACTTCAGACACGTGGCCTCCAGAGAGAATACCTTCTTGTTCTTTTCAGCTACCAATTTTGTGGCCGTGTGTTACAGCAGCCCTAGGAAACTAATTACACCCCTGTGATGGTTCACTCTGTGCTAACCAGGCCCGGGTGCCCAGATGTTCAGTCAAACACCGGTATAGGTGTTTTTTTAGGCGAGATTATAATTTTTTAAAATTTACCTTCATTGTTGAAAGTAGTGCAGATGTCCCTCCTTTTTCCTTCATTGACACCCTCCCCGCCTCCTCCCCTCCTCCCACCCCCTCACCCTCCACCTTCCCCACACTTGTCTGTGTCCACTGGTTGTGCGTATATGCATACAAGTTCTTTGGTTTGTCTCTTCCCCCTCCCCCCACGCCTCCCCTCTGAGGTCCATCAGTCTGTTCCCTACTTCCACGTCTCTGGTTCTATTTTGTTCATTAGATCCCACACATAAGTGAGATCATGGGATATTGTCTTTCTCTGACTGGCTTATTTCACTTAGCATAGTACTCTGTCAGATTACCCTCCGTAATGTGGGTGAGTCTTACCCAATCAGTTGAAGGCCTTTGGAGAAAAGGCTGAGGGCACCCAAGGAAGAGGGATGCTGCCTCCAGGCTGCCCCTAGCCGCCAGCTGCAGCTCAGGTCTTCCCCGGGTCTCCCGCCTGGGCCTGCAGACTTTGGACGTGCCGATCTCCCAATTGCAGGAACCGATTCCTTAAAATAAACCCCTCCCCCACTCTTCCATGTACCTGTCCTATTGGCTGTTACTCTGGAGGACCCTGACCAATACAGTCCATCATCCAGAAACCTTCCATCCCTGACCCCCGTGGGCACCACCCTGGCTGCCCTTTCTCCTGCCAGCACCCCTGTGTCACACCCTGTGGCTCATCACTGCTGTGTGAGTCCCACAGGCTGAGTGGCCATGCGGGGCTGCCCGGGCCGGCGGCCTTCCTCCAGGCTTGCACACCTGTCTCGGGCCCTCCCTGTGGGGCCGACTCCTGCGAGGCCTGCCTTCCTCCAGCCCCTGTTCAGAGCGGCAGGACCCGCCCCCACTGCTGGACCTGGGATTTGAGCAACCAGAACAGCGGTCACTCACCCTCAACCTGATCGGCCAGGGGCTCCAGAGGCACTTGGGTCCCGTCTCCACCCGTGTCGGTGTCACCTGTCTACACAAGCTGTCATGGGGATGTGGCGCTTTTGAGTTGAACCCAGCAAGCCTCCCTCCCGTGACTCGCATGGGGCAAGGGGCCGTCCACTCCCACAGCTCACGTGCCAGGGGGCCCTCCCCCCAGCTCTGCCCCAGACCCGGGCTGCCCAGGCGGATTTGAAGAACCAGCTTCACACACCCTCAGCCGCCCTGTCCTTCCCTTGGCAGGGCGGAAACTCACACCTCGGGTGCCCTCACTGATGCCAGCTCACTGTGGTGTGCGTTCCCCTGCTCCCCGAAGTCATCCGTCCAGAGAGAGGGGTTGTCTGCTTTTCCCCGAAGTGCAGGGGGCAAGAGCTCCCTCACAGGTTGTTAATGTTATGTTGAAAGGAGGGGACAGGTAACTCGGACAGTAAACGTGGCATTTACATGACTGGCCATGGGAACCCCTGTCCTGTGTGGCAGCATTGTTGGCTTGTGTGGCTCAGAAAGCCCCGTGTTTTTTATCTAGACTGTATGTTCATTTGGGGGTCGGGAGGGGCTTTCGTAGTCCCCCACTGCACCAGTTCTGCTGGCTCTTGGTGACAGTCCTTCCTTGGGAGTGCAGCAGAGGCCCCCAGCGGCCTGCCCGGCTCTCATGAGCTGTCCGGGGTACTGAAGCGCAGCCCACTGGGTGGTACGCAGATCCCAGTGTCAAGATGCCCAAGTCTCCTGGCCTTCCCTTGTTGAAAGCGGGTGTGGTCTTTGCTTTGGCCTTTATGTGAAGTGTGTAGGGGAGCGGCCTCCCCCGTGGGAAAAGGAACATGGGGCCTCTGGGAAGGGGGAGAGCTTGTTACATTTTCTTTGTTAAAATACTGTCTCTATTCCAAAGTAGCCGCTTTATTCCAAAGGGGCAGTCTTTACCCAACCAGTTGCCATAGGTTTAAGAGTGGGGAGTATACACCCTGTGGCAAATTCAATCTCCTCCTAGGATCTGTTGTTGGGTTTTCCACCGACAGTTTTTCTTTGCAAAGGGGGCAGTTGCAGCCAGATTGGCTCAGTTAAACAAAAGTGGCCCAAGGTCAGGAGACTCACCCAGCGCTGGGCTCTGTCCCGCTAGAACTTTTTCTCCAGCCTGTGCCCAGGGCTCTGGGCCTACCAGCCTCCGTGTGGGCCAGCCTCGGAGACTCCTGTCCAGAATGCATGGAGAAAGTGGGACAGGCCCCATAGCCCACCACCCTCCAGGCTGTGGGGACAGTGCAGGTGGGAGGTCACAGCCATAGGGGCTGCGACCACAGTAAACACATCGTTGCCCGACTCCACTCGCTGGCAGGACGCCTTTTGTACGTGGCTCCACCGCCCCGCGCTTGGCCAAGTCTGGCATGACTCATTTGCTCCAGAAGAGGAATATAAATAAGCGCCATCGCACCTTGACAAGTTGACAGGGTTGACAAGCAGAGTAAACGCCTGTGTCTGAAACTCTGAGCGGAAGAGGTGATTTAGCAGAGCCAGCTGCCGCCACCAGAAGAAAATAATTAAGGAAACCCGGCAGTGTGGAGGGAAGCCGAGTGTGTGGTAGGTCCCTTCTGGAGAAGGGAGTCGATGATCATTGGCTGCGGGAGGAAGTTCCATGTGCCAGAGAAAATGAGCTGGGGGGGCCCTCTCTGGGGATGGCTGCCGTCGGGGGCAGGGTGCAGGAAGGAAGCAGGCTCTGGGCTGAGAAGGGGACCCTGGCAAGGGGCTTAATTCTAAAAGGCTCTTGACAGGCACCCCCTGCTCACATCCCATACCCTCGGGAGTGCAGCCAGTTCTACATGGAGCCTCTCAGCGTCCCGGGAAGAGCCCAGAAGGCCTGTTTCAGAGCTCAGCCCCCACCTACACACACACACGCGCGCGCACACACACACGCACGCACATACCTTCGAGATGCTCAGGAAGGTGTGGACACTGCGCGTTGCCTAGGGAAGGGCGCACCCCTGTTCCAAGCCCAAAAGGATCGATGAATAAAACTGCAGCAGAAGCCCAGCCAATGTAGCTCAGTGGTTGAGCGTCGACCCCTGCACCAGGAGGTCACTGGTTCGATTCCCAGTTCAATTCTCAGTCAGGGCACATGCCCAGGTTGTGGGCCAAGTCCCCTGTGCAGAGTGTGCGGGAAGCAGCCAGTCAGTGTTCTCTCTCATCGGTGTTTCTATGTCTCTCACTCTCCCTTCCTCTCTCTCTAAAATCAATAAAGAAAAAGAAAAAACAAACAAACAAAACTGTAGCAGAAGGTCAGGGCACATGCCCCAGTTGTGGCCTCAATCCCCAGTAGGGGGCGTGCGAGAGACAGTCAATCATGTTTCTCTCTCACCTCTATGTTTCTCTCTAAAAAAATCAATAAAAACATATTTTTAAAAACTGCAGCAGAAGAAAGACTCAATGTGCCCAACTCTGCCTTCATGCCCACCTCTCTTCGGACTCCAGAAAGGCCCCAGCCGGCTCAGGGACTTTGGGCTTTTCAGTCCATGGCGACCTCAGGTACCCCCGTTTTCAGATGCTGATGAATGAAGGAGATGGGGGCACATCCTCAGGCCGACCAGTATGAGACCAGGGCCATAGCAGTGGCTGGACCTTAAAACGATCTCACCGAGAAGTCAGTGGAGGTTTTGGGTGAAGGGCAGAAGATCCGGGTGTCCCACCAGCTGGCTTCAGCCACTGGACCTCTGCCCAGCACACAGAGGTGACCGGGGAAGTACTGGCCTCTGGGACACCCTGCCCAGGGCAGCTGCCAGGCCAGGTCAGGAGTGGCCACGTCAGCTGGCAGTTCTGGCTCTCCGCCTGTTTCAGGGGTGGCTGGCTCTGATTGTCACTGGCTTTGGGCAAAGCCCCAGAGCAGCCACCACTCCAGGGCACGGGGGCAGGAGCAGCCCCTGATGTCGATGGCCAGGCAGGGATGGGGGGAGGAGGCCCAGACTCCTAAATAAGTTCCCCCGAAAGGAATCCTCTTGTCCTCCAGGACATTCCCCAAAACAGACCGAACCAGGTATGAAGCAGAACTGTCTCCTCTGGCCCAAGGTTCGCCTCCCCAGTGCTCGGCATCCTGGGAGAACCCAGCCCCAGCCCAGGCCAACGGCCACCCTGGTGGGCAGAGGGGACGTTCTGGAGTGTGGCCAGTGAGTGCTGGACGCTCTGTGCCTGGACTCTGTGCTCAGGGTGTGGTCAGCTCATCCCCAGAGCCCCGGGTCCGGGAGCGGCCAACATGGCAAAGTGGATGGTAAGTCAGGGAACTTCCGGAGTAAGGGGGAGACCCCAGTCCGAGGGGAATGAGTGTGTTCCAATCCCAGGCCTGGTGTGTGCAAAGGTGTGGGGGCAAGTGTGTCATATTCCAAGTCCAGAAAGTGCGCATCAGCTACAGCCAGGGCAGGGCCGACAGGGCACAGAGTGGACAGGACTTTCTGAAGGGCCCTTCCCCCTCTGGTTTAATGACAGTGTGAGGCTCCTGCTGCTCCACTGGGCAGGTATGTGGGCACCCTGGGGCAGGGTGCCTTCCAGACCCGCCAGGTCACCGGGGAGGTACCCCCATTTTCCATGTGGCTAGGGAGGGCAGGAGCCCTCACACTGAGCCAGGCCTCTCCTCCGGCCCCCATGAACTGCCTTTTCACAGAGCCTACCCCAAGTGCCCTCCCTGCGTGTCACCCACGGTCAAAAGCCCATAAGCAGGTCCCTGGGAACCACATGGTACTTCCGCTGCTAATACTGTCCTCTCTGTTTGCTTTTCAGGAGTAAAATTCGACATCAGGCTACACCAGGCCAGCGATGTGAGTTCGGAGAGTCAGATAAATCTCGGCATGGGCAGCCTGGGGAAAGTTGGCAAGGGCAGGGAAGGAAATTTGGAGCTCACATTAAACCCATTCTTAGAAAGAAAAATGTGTCCGGTCCTTCCCAGGAACCTTGGGAACAAAGCCCAGGGCTTTGGACCCATGAATTTCCCTTTCCCATTGGCTGGCAGCTTTGGAGAGTGCTAATTGACTCGGTAAATCTGAGCCAGTCTCCTTCAGCCACCATACCCACCGTCCCTTCCCACTCGCCAGGCGGGGTTCCTGGGAGCCCTGCGCCATCTTGTGGCCAAAAGGACACTTGCACCTCAGGTCGTGGCCAGCTGAGCGGGGAGGGACGGCAAGGGCTTGGAGGGAGCTCAGACCAGAGAGGGCACATCCTGCAGGGTCAGCCTGCCTCCCTCTCCCTTACCTTGGAAAAACTGTCACAGAGTGGGCAGGGACCGCGGCCAGGGGCCATAGCGAGGGCCTGGCCTGTGTGACCCTCAGGGCCCAGTACCCTGTCCATTCTGGTAACCCTTTCTCTTCCTGCTCCAGGACTTCCCACCAGGCGGTTCCCAGGATGGTGTTTTTAAGGCACCCACAGAGAGGGTCACCCGCGATTTGTCCAGCCGGGCCCCGAAAGGCCTCAACCTGCTGGTGCCTGACCAACCTCAAGCACCCCTCAACATGGGGGCCCGTCTGCGACCCCGGCAGCGCCGCCGGCGGCTGCTTATCAAGAAAATGCCAGCCGCCGCGGGCACCCCGGCCAACAGCTCGGCTGGCTCCTCGGCCCGGCCGGCGCCGCGGGCCCCCGACGGCCACGCGGTCAGCCTGCAGCAGAGGCAGCGCGAGCGCAAGCGGGTGATGGGGGAGGCGTGCGCCAAGTACCGGGCCAGCAGCAGCCGCAGGGCCGTCACGCCGCGCCACGTGTCCCGCATCTTCGTGGAGGACCGCCACCGCGTGTTGTACTGCGAGGTCCCCAAAGCGGGCTGCTCCAACTGGAAGCGGGTGCTCATGGTGCTGGCCGGGCTGGCGCCCTCCACCGCCGACATCCAGCACAACACCGTCCACTACGGCAGCGCCCTCAAGCGGCTGGACACCTTCGACCGCCAGGGCATCCTGCACCGCCTCAGCACCTACACCAAGATGCTCTTCGTCCGAGAGCCTTTCGAGAGGCTCGTCTCCGCCTTCCGCGACAAGTTCGAGCACCCCAATAGCTATTATCACCCGGTCTTCGGCAAGGCCATCCTGGCCCGGTACCGGGCCAACGCGTCTCGGGAGGCCCTGCGGACCGGCTCGGGCGTGCGCTTCCCCGAGTTCGTCCAGTACCTGCTGGACGTGCACCGGCCGGTGGGCATGGACATCCACTGGGACCACGTCAGCCGGCTCTGCAGCCCCTGCCTCATCGACTATGACTTTGTGGGCAAGTTCGAGAGCATGGAGGACGATGCCAACTTCTTCCTGAGCCTCATCCGCGCCCCGCGGAACCTGACCTTCCCCCGGTTCAAGGACCGGCACTCGCAGGAGGCGCGGACGACGGCGCGGATCACCCACCAGTACTTCGCGCAGCTGTCCGCCCCGCAGCGGCAGCGCGCCTACGACTTCTACTACATGGACTACCTGATGTTCAACTACTCCAAGCCCTTCGCTGACCTGTACTGAGGGCCGGCGGGCCGGGGCGCCCTGCCCGGCCGCTCACCTGTCCGAGGGGCACGGCTCCTGAGCCAGGAGCTCAGATGTACCCAGGGGGCTGCGGAGCTGTGGCCCATACAGGTCCTCTGGGGGGGTCAGCGGCTCAGGCCGTATATGGGGACCCTAGACCACGTCTCCTAGCCAGCCCTTTACTCCTTGGCTGAGGAAGATCCGGAGGGTGTGTGTGAGCTGGACACCCCCGGAGTCCCAGCTGCCACCCCCAGCTCAGCCAGGAGCCAGGGTGAGTGAGGAGGGGAGTCTGAGGCCCAGAGGACCAGGGCCCCGCGGTAAGGGATGCTCTGCAGTCCCTTCGCCATTGCCTTGTACCAAACCACATGATTTGCAGCTTTTCTATGACCCAGGAGGCGTTTCCCTTGGAATGAGGTTCCAATAAAGCACACGGTTTTCAGAGCAGCAGCGTCTACTCTCTGTGTTGGTGCGGGGCCGGGTGCTGTCCGGGGCGCTTTCTCCCTCCCCAGAGCAGCCAGAGCCAGGCTCCCGCGGGGTGGATGCACGGAAGTCCAGGGCCGGAGTGGCCTGCATGGGACAGGAGCAGAGGACCCAGCGGCTTCCGTTCAGGTCCGCATCAGCACCTCACACTCAGGCCTCCGAGGCCAGGACTCAGTCAGCTGGGTCCGCCTGTCTCAGTACCAGCACCCTCATCCTGCAAAAAGACAGACCTGTCCCACGGAGGCCCGCTGGTGTCTCTGCTTGTCATTGCTCTTTGTGGGGGCCCTCTGAGGGACCGCCAGAGCAGTGACCAGCTCTTTGGGCAAGCTGCCATCGGGGCTGCCACTGGGCTCAATGTTGCAGGGCACATGGGTCTCAGGGGGTGTGGTATTGCCGGGCAGGGGGTAATGCCATCCCTGGCTTTCTGAACCGCTGGGCTAAGCAGGGCTTTAGACCAAAGCTGCCATCTGCAGACCCCCAGACCCTGGCCTTGATCCCTGGCTCCTTTCACCTGACAAAACGACCTCAGGGGTGTCAGGATTGTCTGCCCCTTGGGTGCAACGGCTCTGGGGGAGGGGGAGAGAAGCTGGAGCGGAGACTTCTCCAAAAGCATACATTTTTACACAGAAATGGTTCTGAAATGGTCAAAATCCAGGTGTTTCCTGAAAGGTCTTAGAGAAAGTGTTGGAGCTTTGAGTGTGGCTGTGGCTGTGGCTGCTTCGGGGTCTTGTTTGTAACAGGAAGTGCTGCGTGACTATTGCTAGGGATCTGTCTGTCTGTCTGTCTGTCTGCCTAGTTCTCGGTCTCATTTCTCTGTCGGCCTGTCTTCTAGGAGTCTGCTGCGTGCCCTTCTCGGTCCTCCTGTGGCCCCTCTGGGGACCTGTCCCAGGAGACTGCTCTCATTCTGTTCCCACTGGCTAGGGGAGAAGCTGCGGGAGCCGAGAAGGAGACGCTGCAGTCCAGGAGACATGCCGCTGGACCCCGCCCTGGATCCCAGCTCCATCTCACCCTGGTCTCTGGAAACATATAAAGGCGGAGCAAGGAGTCGAGGCTGCCGTGATCAGGCGACACGTGTCCAAGAACCCTGAGCAGGGCAAGGGTACCCTCAGGTTCCAGCTGGAGCGGCCTGGGCCATCTGACAGAAGGGACCCAGAGCAGCAGGGAGGAGGCTGTGGGCAGAGCCTGAGGGCCTCTCTGGTGCAGAAGGCAGGAAGGCAGATGGCGAGAGGCTCAGAGAGCCAGAGGCTGACCCACCGGCACCGTGGCCAGGGCCAGGTCAGTGTAAGGGGGGCAGGGGGGCTAATGATGACCCAGAAACAGCTGCCCCTGGCTGTGGTGCTCAGAGTGAGACAGAATTCACAGTGCGGGACAGGTCTCTGGTCACGGGTGCATTCAGCCAAGCCTGAGGCAGTGTCACTGGTCATCGGCTTAGCAACGGGGACACCTGGAAGCCCAGTTGGGTCACTCTGCCTCTTGGAGTCAAGACTGCCCTGGGACATCCTCCCACAGTGTGAGCCTGTGTGTGAGTGTGCATGTGTGTGACTGAGTGTGTAAGTGTGAGTGTGTGTGTTGTAGGGGTAGGAAAACACGTCTTTACTGTGTCACCTCTCAGAAACAACCAGACCTGAGTCGGGCAGATGTACACACACAATACATCCATCAAAGGGGATTTTCCTCTGGGTGGTGATGGCAGGTGACACAGTCCAGGCATTGACCATGATCACCCCTTGATGGCCTCCAGAGGCCCAGTCCTGAGACTTCACCCTGAATCCACCGAGGTAGTTTTGGACCCAGCTCCAGCCCCCACCCCAGCTTCAAGCCTTGTACAACCCCAGGGCTTGGGGACTGTGGACCTAATTGCCAACACAGCAAAGTGTATCTATGTGTCTGTGTCTCTGTGTAAGTACATCTTTGTGGCTGCGTGGGTATGTGTGTCTGGGTGTGGGGGTGAGCGTGTGAATCTGTATTGTGTCTGGGTGTGGCGGTGTAAGTGGCGTGGTAGTTATCTGTCTGGGGTGAGGGAGTGTATGTGTGTGAGCCTGTATCATGTGTCAGGGTGGGAGTAAGGTGGATAGTCTCCCCTCCTCTCTGGGACATCATGTGCTGTCTGTCCCTGCCCCATTTTATCTGCTTCCCCCTTTGTGGGTGTAGTCCAGAGGGAGGGGCTCTCTGGGTCAGAGACCCAGTACGTGCCCACAGGCTCCTCCCAGGGGTCAAGCGGGCCCACTGAGTTGGGAAAATAACCACTGAACCCCCAGAGCCCTTCTCCAGCCTTGTTTTCCAAATGAGGGCCTTTCTGAGACAGCCCACAGTGGAGTGCCTGCCGGGCCTCCCCAGGCATGAGCCTTGCTCTCTGAGTGGTGAAGAGGACGGACCGAGGGTCCTCCCGGAGTCCTGTGGGTCCAGAAGACCTGAGTCCTCTAAGGAGATGAGACCGGAGGCCCACCGGCGGTCAGGTGTGACCTCCGGGCTCCAGGACATAGCCAAACCCTCCTACTCCCCACTGTCCCCCCTGGCTTGGCCTCCCACACAGGGGCCCAGGACGGAGGTGGACAGGCAGTGCAGGAGGGACAGTCCTTCAGCAACCCTCCCTTCCCATTTGCCAATTTCGACCTTGGAGTTGCCCCCCTGGTGGGGGTGGGGCTCGGGAGCCTCAGGAGAGCCCTGGGGCTGGCAGGTGGTCTCCCCTCACCCCCAGCTCCTCCTAGCTGACCCTCTCTGGGGAGCACCCCTGGAAATGTCCCCTTGGCAGCCCCTCCCCACTCCACCCACGCGCCGCAGGACCCAGAGCTGAGCACAGGGAGCTTCGTGCGGACCCACAGGCTCGGGAGTGAACGGGATTTCCAGACTGGGGGTGGGCAGGGCTGAAACAACGCCGTCCTCGCCTCTAGGGACCCTGTGCTGATGGGAGCAACCACCTGGGTGAGGAGTAAACTGGCACCTGAGAGAGCTGGGGGAGCTGCCCCAGTGTGGGGATGGGAGGCAGGGGGTGGCCACGGCTGCCCTTTCAGAGGACGTGGGCGCCACGGTCCGCTCACCCACGCTGCAGGAGGGGGGGAGGGGATATGAGAGCCCTGAGCTCCGGTCCCTCTGGTGGCCTGGCCTAGCCGTGAGGCCGTGTTGCTCCCCGACTCTTCACCCTGCACACGAGTCTCAGCTGCGAGATGGTGACCAGGAGCAGGGGTGGCCAGGGGTCTGGTGGGTCTGGGACCACCTGAGAACAGTTGCTTCTGCCCCTCCCCCATCTGGGTGGGACTTCAAAAGGGGGGGTGTCAAGAGAGAGTAGGTTGGGGGCTGCTCCCAGGAACACTTTTTTTTTATCCTCACCTGAGGACATTTTTTCATTTTTTGTTCAGATAGAGTGGGAGGGGGAGAGAGAGAGAGAAACATCGATGTGAAGAGACACATCAAGTGGCTGCCACCCGCACGACCAACCAGGGCCGGAGACAAACTGCAACCGAGGTACATGCCCTTAGTGGGAACCGAACCCGGGTCTCTCTGGACCGCAGGCCGACGCTCTAACCGCTGAGCCAAACCGGCCAGGGCCCAGGAACACTTGAAGCCTAGGACAAGGGTCAGAGGTCGGAGGTCAGAAGTGAGTCATTTCTAGCGGTGGAGCCCAGGGTGTGCCAGCTGGAATGGAGTGCTCAGGACAGTGGGTGCAGTGTTGACCTCACATGCACTGCCCGAGACCTCTCCTGGCTGCCTTGCCCCACTCGACAGGTGAGGGGACAGAGCACAGAGAGGCTTGTCCAGAGATGCGCAGGATAGGACCTGGAGCCGGGATCCCCCCAGCCGTGGGCCTGTGACCGCCTCACTCTTGTGGCCGCCCCGTCCCCTCTGCATCTGGGCGGTCCAAGGGAGGGTAGGGGCGGGAGCAAGCCTCCACTGGCAGAGACACCACTCGGCCACCAGGGGGCGCCAGGTCCCCGCTCCTGAGCAGCGGCCTGGGTATCCCCGGCCGGCCCACGAGGTGGCAGCAACACCCCAACTGTGTGCAGCTCCAAGCGGGGTGGAGCATCCCCCAGACACACGGGAGACCGCATCCCCGGCCTTCCGCTCTAGTGAGCGGTCTTCTACCCGCTCTCTCTCCCAACCATGGGGTCGCCCCGCCCTGCCTCTCCAGCTGTGTCCGGGCAGACCCCAGAAATCATTCTCCAACCCACCAGCTCCAGACAACACACCTGCCCTAACACCAAGCCCTCAAACATTCCCAGCAGCCCTCACCCCTCCCATGGGCCCAGTGGGCACCAGAACATCCCAGGAATGCCCGGTCAGCAGGGCGGACATAGTATGTGGAAGGACCAATGTCGCCTGGGCTGTGTGGGGAGCTGCCATGCTGACTTCACTGCCCTTCGTCAAGCCTGGACTTGGGGTGCATCCTGACCTTGTGCACTGTTCCTTCTGTCTCACTCCCCTGGAAAACCCCATCCCCCCCCCCAGCGTGCTCCCCCTGCTGCAGGAGACAAGGGCTCACTGGGATTTCCTTATGCTCGTGATCACAGACCTCACAGGGCCAC